AAAACATTACTCAGCAGAAATATGACACCAATATGGTGGAGAAAAAGTGACTCAGCAGAGGTGGGATATGTTACGATCAGAGCCAAGTGAGAAGGATTAAGGGAAAGAGATGACTCAGCAGAAATTCTACGATAAAAGAGCAAGCGCAAACAAAGAAATTTCAGCCTTGCTCCGGAGCTTGGCTCATTTGGGTTGTGATGTGTTTGTTGCCTGCGAGCACATTAAACTCAGTTGCATCTGATTCTACGTGTCTCCAGTGATTTTTTTTTGACCTCTGAGTATTTGAGTTTTTGATATCTAATGGAAGATAAAGAAAGTCCATTTGAGAGGGGAAGAGCGAGGTCGCGAGCTAACTGGCCCGGCTCGGGACCTTGACTTTTTTGCTTCTACAGGTGAACTAACAAGGCGGAACATAATTGGCGTCACTGCAAACTCTGAATCCATCGCAATGGTTCAGCATATTTACTTATATATAAACGGAAGTCGGAAACGGAAATTCGTCTCCTCCACCCAAATCAAACTGGAATGCCAAAAAATCGGGGGTCTGCCCCCAGAGGCTGTATCGCCGTCTGCCGGAAGTCAGATGCCGAATACAGCCGATGGGTTCCGAGAATGATCAAATACTAACTCGGCGAGATTATAATTGGATGGATTAAACTGTAGCAGATTTACTAGCTAAACATTCAATGACTAAACTCTACTACTAATGCTGTTTTGCCAAATTTCTACCCATCTATGTTGTGTGACTTAAAAATAGTAACATCAGATGAGTTTTAGCACTTTTGAGGTGACAGGAGTGAAAATTAGTCAACCTCAAAGTATGGTGTGTTAGGGTTTCAGAATGATGGGGACAGACAAAACAAAAATACAAACTAGTATGGAGGCTCTTCAGCAGGGATACTTATATTGATTCAGACTGGGATTTTATTTTATCTTTTACTTTAAATTTAAGCAAGATGCCAGAGTGCGTTTGAAAAAGCATCAAAATAGAGCTTGTTTATTAAAAAAAGTGCTGGGGAGGATCCCCTGGACCCCCTAGCAGAGGTCTGGGTTAATCCCTGGATGTCCTCGAATCCTACAGACGCCACTGCGTACACCTGACCTGAGCACGGCTGCTGCAACTGGACCCTGGCCTCCTTTAATTTTGCAAAAGAGGCCCCCGGGCAAAGCGAGCTGAGTCTCCCTGCTCAACAGGATGATTTTTTTCCTTGGCAACGATCATGTTTTTTCCCCAAGGATGCACAGATTTTGAGGCATTTTATTTATCTCAGATGGTTTGAAAAATAGTCATATAGCTGCTATAAATGGTGGACACCATGCTGTCGGACCCTCCTCCATTTGGGCTGAGCCCTGAATGTTTTCAACACCTGGCCCCGCCCCTGCTTTACTTCCTATCTGTCTTTTTCCACTCGACAGACGCTATGTTTCTAAAGTGAGCCTGGTCCTTCTTCCATTGCATAACAATGAAGGTGGAGGAGGAAAAAGTGTACTTAGCAAACCAAGATGGCGCCATATCTGTGTGTGACATTTTCACAATGACAGCCTTCGCTCCATTGGTTCGAATGACTGTAATTTCTGTGTCACTTTAGGGCCACAGGAGTCAGAAGTGGCTTCCTCCCTCTTATCATGCGATAGTTCTCCCAGCTCGAGCCAATAATGGACCTCGGTTCACCTGCACATTAAAATGACAAAGGAAAAGTAACTGTAATTTCCAGATCGCTGAGGGAAAAGAAACCTTTTCGTGCCCACTTAGTTGTTCATTTTCGAGAGATGGATTCCCACTCCCTTTGGCAAGAAATCCAGATTTGGTGCCTTAAGTATGACCCCCGTCTCTCTCTTCTTTTTAAACCCAGATTTTTTTTCTCTCTCTTTAACTTATTGGTTTTTTCACACCAAAAAAGTCAGTTTTTAATTGGGTGCAGAGGATTAGAGCCCCAACACATGGAGAAAGGTGCCATGATTTGTACTGACACGACCAATAGTACTGGGAGTTTGACCTCCTGAATGTCAGGCAGAAAGGCCACATAAAAGTCATTCTTTTAATTTCACACAGGTTACATTAGCTAGCTTAGCTCTGTTCAGAGTTCAAAAATATATATTTGTAAAACTTTAAGCCAGCTTAAAACCTCTAAATGTTAACACTATTAACATGTTTAATACATCTACAAGGATAAATGTAAACATTGCTATTAGCATGTTAGCATTACTGTTAGCACGTCACTCTTTAACCACAGCTTGTCTGTTTAACATCTCTGTTTGTGTCCAATTTATAAAACAAGAAACAGCTTCATTAGTGAGCTTTAGAGGTGTTGGTCATTTGTTGTTGTTGTTTGAGAGTTAGCCAAGCTAGCTGTGTCCCCTTGCTTGGTGTTTTTATGCTAGGCTAAACCAGCTGTCTCCTGGCTAACGGACAGACATGAGAGCTGTATTGATTCATCTAATTCATTGCAGGAAAGCAAATTTTATGGTATTTAAAGTTTAACTTTTAAGGGTAGACTGCCACAAAGGCTTCGAATTATCAGGCACTCGTGGTGTATCAAACCACTGTCTGCTGCCATATTTGCTATTAGCACTGTTAGCCATAGACTATATAATGGACGTAGCCACCGTGATATCACCCGTTGGTTTGTGGGCTCCAGTTTAGAAGCCTCGAGTTCAGCATTTTGGCCATTACCATCTTTTTGGATTTTTGGAGCCATATTTGGAATAGAGGGTGGAGCTAACCCTTATGCTAGCTCTTAGCTTCGTTAGCACGGTGTATTTACAGCTATGGTTATCTGTGATAATACTTAGACTAATGCTTAAACCATTAAAACAAAATGTACTTCGCGGAAAAACTGAATATCCGACTCCAGAGGGCTCTCTAGTACAACCAATATTTTGGCACACAAAGGATACCATTAATGTTCCTGAACTGAAAACACACTGAAATAGTAACAGCGACAGCGATGTGCTTACCATCTGTGAATCTGGGGTTACACCGTGGTAATGTTACCAAACCAACTTTGTCACTGTGGTAGCTGACTTGTCAACGGATGGATCACACCTGTCACTCAAAGTGGCCACGGCTTTAATTCTGCCTTACTTAAAGAGGCAATAAGCGAAATTGTTTCACCGCTAGGTTCGCTGTTGTACACTGCCTGTAGAGCAAAACAAAGTGTGTCATGAGCCACACCTCCCTCTACCTCTGCTCTCCAACCCCCACCCCACTCGCCTCGTCTGTGCAGCCAAGCACCGCAGCATCTCCACGGACTATCACATCCAGACGGTCCTGGTGTTTCTTCCGCAGGCTCCACTTCACTCCGCTTCACCCACCTGGCTCACGGAGAAGAGAGGAATGTTAGCGTTAGCTCCCAGAGTTAGCACTAGAGCTACTATGGCTACTGGAGTAACTTGCAGCTATGGAGCGCTTCTACCAGCTCTTTTAGTCACTGAGCCTCGCCTCCATTTCAGCAAATATATTGCATTTATTACAGGTACCATCATCATTGAAGTAGGCAGGGGAATAGCTAAACACAGCTGCCAGGCTGCCCGCCAGGCTACATTTTACAGTGCTAATTGCAAATGTTAGCTGGGCTACGTTCACATGAACGAACATGGACGTACATGAACGCGCAGCCGGACTGGCTTGTAATCAATGGGCTGGAGATCAACACAGAGAGAGGGTGTGTGAGGTCATGCTATACTCCAGATGAAATTACACCTCCAGTTCTTCACATAGCAATTTTTTAATTCCTTCAATCAAGAAATTATGAATTTCGCTTATTGCTCCTTTAAGGCCTAAATAAAATGGAAACATGGGAAATACATCGATTTTTTTCCAGGGTGTTAACATGTTTATTTCTGCTGCTAAGTTGGACACTTAACATAGAGGTCAATGGGGATTGACTCACTTTTGGAGCCAGCCTCAAGTGGCCATTAGAGGAACTGCAGTTTTTGGCACTTCCATGTTGAAACCCACCAACGAAATGGTAATTTGAACCTTGCTAGCCTACAATGCAACATTGCAGTGAATAAATATGAGGCCAACGTAGTAATAATCAATCAGATAAGATTCACCATTTAAGTAACAAGATGGAACCTTTAGCCTAACCTTAACTGCCTGTCTTTTAACATAACACTTCACAGCTAGCTTAACGCTTGATTAGCATTGTCTTCAGAGCTTTCACTTCTGCAAGAAGGCGCAAAGTGGGCTGATAATGTTTGCATGGTAGGCGAGTCATGTAGCTGCTTCAGCTGTAGCTATACCTGCTCGTCATTTTTCAGCCCCGGATATTGCTGCTTGGTCAACACTGTTGCCGTTGTTGGCACTGTTAGCTGAAAGCCTTGTGCAGACAACCTCTGAATGATAGATTTTGTTTAGTATACAATTATGAGCTCATGTAGCTTTCAGAAAATAATATAAAAGCAGGGGATGACTAAATTAAAAGTCCTTGAGATATGATTTATAGCAAAGCAACACTTTGTGAAGTTGGTAAAGGCAAAATTGGATAAAAAGTAATTCCTCTCCTGCAGTGTTGCATGCCTCATACAAATACAAGATTGAAAAGAGTGTTACATTGAACACATATCTCCCTCTTGGCATCTCTGTTTTTTTCCATTCCCATAATAACCCCTGAACATTTTCCTGGGTGCATCTTCAAAACATTTTTTTAACTGACAGCACATTTAAAGTTAACACCTGGGGAGAGCATATCGGTATTAGTGTAGGTGAAACATGCACCCTGCGCTTCCACCTTTACAAGTTTGTCTCACACATGTTCTCTTTATTTAGCCGGGTTTTGCATTCCATTAACGCCACCGGGATTTAGTTTGCCTCCAGCTCAGAAAACGACCTTTGGTTTCCACAAATCCTCTAACCGTTTCTCTCACTTTTCTCCATTTAGATTCATGCCACACTGGAGCACGAATTTAGAAGAAAAGCCAATTAATCCGGCTGCATTGTTTTTGTAATTCAACTGATCTCTCTGTCTCACTCCATTTTCCTCCTCTCTCCCCAGTTCTCCCCAGCTGGGGACTTGATCTTCGAAGTGTACCTGGAAAAGAGAAAGCCGGAGAACTGCTGTTTAATCAAGGTATAACCGTGTATGCGCGTTTATGTGTGCATCTGTACTTTCAGCTGGCATGTGGGCATGTGTGTAAGCCTGCTTACCCACAGGTCCTCCAGTGGTAAGGTGAAATAAGAAAGAGGGAGGGGAGATGGAGTGTGGGATGAAGGCAGGTGAATGAGGGATGAGGGTGGGTAGAATGAGAGTTGCAGAGGTTGATAGAATAGGGCTGAGACATTTGTGGTTTAACCTGATGGGATTACCGCCCCCGAAATAAATCAAAAGCGAACTAATCAAAGAAACGTCTGATTCAATTGTGTGAGTAATTGCGTTTTACAAGGCACGCGGGCCGCTGTAGGTTACGGACTCCTTTCACAGGTCGGCGTCGCAGCGGAATAGGGATGGGGTTAAAGAGGAGTGCTCAGCAGCACAGTTTGACTTTAATACTCCGCTTTCTCTCCGAGGAGTTAAGTAGCACATTTGCTTTGTCCAGTGCCGTCCAGGCACACCTGATAACTCGACAAAGAAGCAAGTATTTAATCAGTGCGCTGTGAACATGGCTGTGAGTCAGATATCTGCAGTTAGTGTTACATGTTAAATATTGAACGGTTCCTCAAAGGCAGAGATGGTTTAAGGCGATGATATTGATCCGGGCAGCTTATGATCTGAGCTTTTATGCAGGATGTGCTTACTTTGTTCGATTGTTTCTTTTTTTATTTGTTTTGTTGTTTGCCGAGGTATGTATTTATCTGTTTGTTGTGTTCGCGGTAGGTCTCTCCCAGTATGAGATCCGCGGAGCTTGCAGAGACCACGCTGAGTATGAGGAACGTCACCTTCGGCGCTGACGACTGCTGGACCACCTTTGAAGTCATTGAGAATGGAGAGTTAGGTACGCAGGGTTTCCTGGTTAGAGATCTTTCACTCACCTTTTGAAAACGCTGTATTTTACATGGCAATGTTTTGTTATCTCCAACAAATACACACATGGTGGGGTCACAAACTCATGAAGAGAAAACATTACTTGTCTCTAAATCAGTGGTACCCAACTGGTCCAGTCATACGCTCCAAATTTCCCCTTAGCCATTAGTTCAAGGTCCACACAGTTCACTAAATTTGGCATCACAGTTGTGTTTAACCATGTCGTTGAGCTAGTCTGCTCTCCATTAGTCACTCACTTTACAGCAGGAAACGCACTTTATAATAAAAGCTCTGTGCCAAACTTCAGTGTACTTAAAAATAAACTCAAAATTGACATGTTTGTGAGTCACTTGCGGTCCTTTTAAAATGGACTTCCGACCCACCAATCGGGAACCACTGCTTTAAATAATGTCCTCTTAAGTCTTCTGAGTCAAAGGCTTCTGAGGCCCCGTGTCCACCAAAGTGTTTTTTTACCCAGCTGAAAACGCCAGGTGCTCCTCAGGAAACACCCCGCTGTGAGCATTTGAGAGCACTCTGGAGGCTAACATATAGTCAGCTGAGACCCTTTGGTTGCATTTAGTTGCTATGATACAGAATATCTGCGGAAGTAAACATTTTGGCTCAAGGTAGAGAACTTGCTTTGGAGCATGGAGGGAAAGAGGACGGACCCGCCAGTCTGTGTGGGTTTGAATGCTGTTCGTAGGGCAGCAAAATGCGCAGTACATTTAAGAATACAGTGGCCTCACCAAAAACACCTTGATGGAATCGGCCCCTAAGTTATAGGCAAAGCAAGGGTTCTGTATTTACCCTTTTTTTTTGGGGTAAACTAGAGCACTTCCACATTGCATAATTTTGCTCTCTTACTTCCGTTCTGTTTCCAGAAGTTTGATTACTTTGCTGAGCGTTGCCAGCTTCATCATAATTATCTGAAATGTTTTTCACTCACATTGAAGCATTTCATTAAATTCATTGTGTTGCCGTTCTTGGCAACAATGTCCTTTTTAGCATATTGCATTGTGCTGTATTGCCATCGAGCTTGATAAGATGGAGTCGCACGTCTGATCTCTTCATAGTCATTTTTATGCTTATGCAAGGCACACAACACACACGTGAACCTCGTCTCTGGACATAACCCAGTGTTTTTCCCGTATGCCTTTACTACATGTAAAACAGCCATTGACCAGCATGATTAAATCTTAGTACAACCATGCAGCATGCTTATTGCCTTACTCCTATTCCTATCAAAATTTGGTACCCATTGACGAGGCATTTTTTGATACTCGACAGTAGGGCTGGGTGATATGTACAAAAATTCATATCACGGTGTTCACAGGCTGGCTGGTGATTCACGATATATATTTCGGTATTTTGTTTAAAAAGCAAAGACAGGAATTTTATTCTCCTGCTTGAAAATATGCAGCTGCATAACAGTTACACCTCCAGAACACTAGTCTGCGGCGGAAGTGTTGTAAAGTTAAGTTGATTCAAAACACACACAAAATACATTCAAAACACACATTAAACACACATTGAACATGGGTTAATAGAGACAATTTCAAACACAAGTACACAAATCAGCTTCACTATAACTCGCAGCATTCACAGACAAACACTTGTCTTTATCTGGACACATTTTCCCCACAAATACAACATGCTAATGTTTTTAGCACAAGCCTATGGCATTTTACATTGTATAAATTAGCTTAGCGGATAGCTGACTTTTCCTCTACTCATATGAAACCACAGCAACATTTAACAAAGGTAACGTTACAAAATTCAGCTCCATTACAACTCACAAGGTTCACTGACAAAACAACTGTCTTATACTAAACATGTTTTCCAAACAAATACAACATGCTAACGTTATTAGCACAAGCCTATGGCATTTTACATTGTATAAGTTAGCCTACCAGCTAGTGGACTTTTCCTCTTCTCATATGAAGCCAGGGACAACAGCAACATTTAACAAAGGTAACGTTACAAAATTCGGTTCCATTACAGCTCACAAGGTTCACTGACAAAACAACTGTCTTATACTAAACATGTCTGAATTACTTCACTTTGAAGGGTCACAAGCCAGAAAAACTTTGATGAGAAACTTTTAGGGACCATATTTTGGCATTTTGCCTTTATTCAACAGTGGTAGTAGAGATGCAGAAAAGAAATGTCGTGAGAGGGAGAGGGGTCTGACATGCAACAAAAGTCCCCCAACTGGAAAAAAAATGTCTGTAAAATGTCCATGCTTGTCATTCCTCATCTCCCTCTCCTCCCATTTTATATCATCTCTCCACTGTGGCTGTCCAATAAAGGCATAACATGTTCTTCTTTGTCATCAAAAAACTATATTCAGGGAGCAACATGTTCCTTTTTAAACTCCAACATTATTTGGCTGTTGTAACCAAAACATAATCACATTATGATTAAGTCTTTTTTTGATACAGTAATAGTCATGCCGTAGACCCACACAGGTGCCCCCTCCTCTGCACTGTGATGCAGCTAAACCAACAAATTTGTTTTGAAAGCCAACATGTGTTGTTTTTTTTTTTTTTTTCCTTACCATACACATAAAGCCGCTTCACTAATTACCACTTCTGAGAATCCATTTGAAGAAATTAAAAAAGCATTTTATTTTAATCAACTAAAAGAGCATCCTTGGTTACAAACACTACATTTTCCTTTTTGTGTGATGGAAGGTTCAAGAAGTCATTTATTCTTTAATTAAAGTGCTTCACTCACAAAAGCCTGACGAATTCGACTTTATTTCTATTCACTGATCTCTCTGAAAATGATTTTCTCTGCTGTTTTAGCTTGTAGTTTTATTTTAATGTAACAGTGTGTATGCACAATCATTTAATGCACATTTTTATGGGAGTCATGTGCACTTCTGAGAGACTGTTGGTAATTCAGGGGGGTGTAAGTCATTAGAAAGTCTTAAAATGTCTTAAATTTAGTTTCCGAAATATTAAGCCTTCAAAGTCATTAAAGGGATACTTCACTTAGGCAGATTTTTCCTGGGTCCTGGTCTGTTGCTCAAACTACAGATTGAACTTTCTCATTCTTGTATACCTGCCGCCACCACAGACACAAAGAGTAAAGAAGTGGCTCAAGAAAGAGATCCACCTCTCTCTTCCTAACACAGACCAAACACCAGTCAAACTCAAATCTGTTTTTCTAGCTGGCATATTCGTCTATTTTGTTTCTTAGTTATTGACTGATTTAAAATTGTTTTCGATTTTGAGTTTTTATTCTGCCTTCTGCAGTTCCTCAGTGACTGATCAGCCAAAACGTTAAAACCACTGACCGGCGAAGTGAATACCACATTTTGTTACAGTGCGATGTTCTTTTGAGGAACCTTGGGTCCTGGAATTCATGTAGATGCCACTTGACATGCTACACCTACCCGAACAACATTACAGACCAAGTAGACTCCCCTACTGGCAACGGCACTCCCTGATGGCAGTGTACTCCCTCAGGCAGGACAATGTGTCAAGCCACAACACAAAAACTGCTTAGGAATGGCCCATGGGACGTGACTAAGCTCAAGGCGTCAACCTGGCCTCCGAATACCCCAGATCCCAATCCGACTGAACATCCATTAGGCATGCCGGTACCTTACCTCACAACCCACAGGACTCAAAGGATTCGTCAACAACACCTTGGTGCCAGACAACACAGACACCCCCAGAGGTCCTGTAAGGTCAATGCCTCGACTGATCAGAGGCCCCATCATAGATCTGACTTGGCTCTGACCTGTTGAGGCCCGGACAAAGGGACCTTTGGGGTACCGGTTTGTTGGGATCAGAGTGGGATCTGGGGAATTTGAAAGCTAGGTCGATGTCTTGAGGTCTTTGTCACGTTTCTTGGACCATTCTGAGCATGCTGGGGGACTACTGCCATCAGGGGTACTGTTGCAATGAACGGGGGTACTTGGTCTACAACAATGTTTAGGAAGTTGGAGTGTGTGAAGGAGAATCCACATGAATGCCTGGACCAAAGGTTCCCTTGCAGAACATTGCATTGTAATGAAATGATTGATGGTATTCGCTTCACCTGCCAGTGATTTTAATGTTTTGGCTGATTGGTGTATATTTACTACTTTCTAGCTACCCGCAATGATGAGGGTAAAGATGATTCGTCCAAAAATCCGACTTAAATAAGGTCAAAAATCATCTTGGAAAGGTCTTCAAAAGCTTTAAACTTCAGTGTCTGATACCTGTAGACACCCTGTTATCATTAGATAGTAGATGTTGAATGATCAGAGCTGAATGAAGTGGTTTAAAGGACTGTGAAATAAACTCTGAGCTTTATTCAGAGGTTAAATCAAAAGTTACCCTGCTGTCAAATCCCACACCTCAAAGTAGTAAAAGCCTTTCACAGTATATCTTCTGCTGTCATCTGCAGTATATGCAGCCAGTGATTGATGCGTCACATCACCGTTTAAATGGCCGTTTTCATCCGGGGCACATGCAAAGATCACACTTTCTCTTATCCAAGGACCCCGTGATTAGAGGATTATGTTATCTCTCTAATGAACCAGTGTCTGTGAACATGGAAGCACACTGAGAAATTAGCCAAGCATCGTCGGTTTGATGATATGCACATTAATTAATCATCTTTACCATCATATGTCATAAATTATCTTCATCTTCCTTGCATGATCAACCCAGGGAGCTGACCCACCTCATCTAGCATTAATATGCACCCCTGATGACACCCGCCGTGCCTCACACACACCCGCATTTGATCATAGCACGGGAAGCGGCGAGCAAGGGGAAGTCAAAGTTGAGCTTTGTCGCGAAGTTGCTTAGCTGGCGGTCCCCGTGCACTTTTCATCAGTTCACTGAGAGTTTACGCCGCGCTCTTATGTTTGTTTTCCTCCTCACAAAGTTACAGAGGACACGCCGTCCTCTTCTAAAAACGAAGGTGTGTTGAATACTGAATATATTTGCTGACGGTTCAGCATATTTTCCATGCCAAGACAATATGTCTGTGGAAGAGTAAACAGTCAAGCTATTTTGAAGGCGGTAGCGTGACAGGTTTTGCTCATAAAACCATAAAGAAGGGAGGGAAAGTGCGTTAATTAGCCATTTTGGAGGATAGCTACAGATAAACACTGTTATCGAGGACAATAGGCAGAAAAGGGGAGCTAATATTTGTTAGGAAATGAGGAACTAATTCCATGGCCTGGGTCTGCAGAGATTCCAGAGAGGAGATAAGCCCACTGTTATGAATAAGTTATGCCGTTGTGGCTCTTTTTACCTCCTTCGGTTATGAAAAACGGGGGAGTGTCGAGATGGAGGCATCAGAGCAGGGGTGGTGGTACACAAATTATCTACTTTTTTTGTGGCTGATAGCATGTACCCTGTTCACCAATTAGGAAGAGATAATAGGTCTATTTTGCACATGAGTGTGTTTTTATAATCAGGTCCTGATATGCTGGAGATAATTTAAACTGCTCTGTGATGGAAATGGGGAGAACAACAACATAATTTTGTTATTTAGTTAACTGGAATTTGTCATGGATTTAATGATATGAGGCTGTGATTTTGTTTCATGCATTTACAATTCATGTATGAAGACAGAGACGGAGCGGCTGTGTTGTTCTGGCTGCTAATCCCTCTCCCTCTGACCTGTGGTCTTTTGTTTTCAACAGAGCGGCCGTTGCACCACAGTGAGAAGATTCTTGAGCAGGTGCTGGAGTGGAGTGCTCTGGACTGCCCTCAGTCTGCTTTCCTTGTCATAAAGAAGTTCACAGGAGCCAGAAGAGTGGCTGATGGGAAAGGTACAGTATAGTGTGAAACTACAAAGGTTACCTTTTAATGCTGAATTTTAAAACAATACGTATGTTGTTTTGCATGTGTGTACTAGTTACACTTCATTCTCAGAGGCCGGACTTAAAGTGCTTTCAGACCTAGAGTCGCTCACCAGACCTTTCTCAAGAAAAGAAAGGTCTGGCTGCGCCAACTCTCACTTTAAGATTGGAGAAAAAACGCCCGGGCTTTTTTTATTTCTTTCAACCAATCACAATCGTTCTGGGCGGTGCCACAGCAATGGTGCGCTTGCAAAAATATTGCCGGGGGGAAACAGGTTTTGGTGTAACACGCCCACAAAAATATCGCCTACAGGAGGCGAACCATGGCAGAAAAATGGCTACATCCCCGCAAGATCAAACACCGCAAAAGTTAGTAAAGGACGTGTTGAAAACTGCTACACAACCGGAGGTGGTAGGGCGGGACTTCAGCAGGTGGCTCGTTCCACCCAATGAGAGGCTGATCTATGCAGCGAACTTCCGCCCACTCAGACTATTTCAGACCTAGAGTCGTCTTGCTTTGATCTGAATCAGGGACTGAGTTCGTCACAAAGTTGTATAATTGCCTAGAGTTGGTTCATGTTCTCACGGCAGCATTTACAAGAGGACCAGATCAAATGCCTTCTGTGAGAAAGCTTCTCTTGATTGGTCAGAATTTCCATGTGGGAAAAATCCAGGAAGTAAAGCAAACGTTGAAGAAGAGTACACTTGCAAGATAAATATGACACTTTCTAATGTCACAATGGAAGGACAACTACGCAGGTTGATTTTAGCGCTGCTCATCGTGGACTATATTGCTGTCATTGTTCATTTTAGTCAAACCATACAGTTTGAAAACGAGGCGCGGCTCCAACTAGAAAACAATGTTTTGATGCATTGGATGTGCTGAATGTGCATATTAAGGCAGTACAGGAGGAGGTGCACATTAATAATCCTCCAGGACTGTAACATGCTCATGTTTAACCCAAACAATGTGTCATGTGACTGCAGTTGGTTCGGATCCAGGTCGGAACACGTTCTCACTACAAACGAACCGCACCAGAGTTCATTTGTAACCAGACCGAGACCACCTCTTCAAGAAGGTCTCAGTCTGGTTGTGGTGCACACCTGAGTGTGATTGCTGTGTTCACACCTGCCCAAATGAACCGCACTTAGGGGGCAAAAAAACTTGAGTTTGAATGAACCAACGGTGTGAAAGCACCTCAAAATAATGTAACACTATACAAAACTGAAATGGTGACCTATGTTGATCAAAGCATTGATAGATTAACTGACAAATCATTTCAGCGCCAGCTGATAAACTTGTGCACCACTCTGGGCTGACAGAAAATCTCTTTAATGGACATTATTGTCTTTCACAGCAGATCAAAGACAGTCCGCAAAAAGAGAGTCTCTGAAGTTCAGCGATGGATCCTCCAAACTGCTGTCGGGGCACAAATTCCAGGACAAATATGTCGAACTACGTGCAGAGACGCTGCTGCTCTTCAGAGATAGCAGAGTAAGTACACTTTTATTTTCAGCTTAATCTGCTGCCACATCTACTGTAAACACTTTCCACCACGGGTTTGAGCATGCAAACACAAAGTATCGGGCGAACAGAGAGTGCTTTGTATCACGGGGGAATTTAAGGTTATAGAACTGCTTCAGCAAACTGAAATGTGTTAGTATGGCGCCCACATAAACTGCAACCAAATAGACCCAACTCCACCCAAATTAAGTAGGAAAATAAAACACACTGATGGCAGCAGACTTCCCACTCTCTTTCGAAAGAAAGGAAGAATACAGAGTGTGCTTCAGAAAGGACCAGCAGGCCCGAGTTCCCTGGAGGCCTTTTCTTCTCAGCACATTTCTGCAGTTGAAACATGGGATTCGTAAAGGAGTGTGAAGAAGTGTTAATAATTGATGGAGGTGCAGTAATTCTGGCAGGAGAGGGGGAGGGAAAATAGTGAGGGGCGGTTTCACTGAAAGCTTTTCTAAATATCAAGTTGCACAAGAATGTGGCTAATTACCATGTAAATGCTATGAAAATTAGGAGTGTTTCTGAAATTTAATTGATATTCTTTGACCCCTACAGTTATTGCCAGGTCTGTATTTAGCGTAAATTATGTTGGATGAAGCAGGGACTGGGTGGTGGGTTGTGATGTGTAGGTGTCAGAGGCAAGCTATAACTTTGATTTTGTTCGCTTTGTTCTCTTCTCCACTTTGTTCTCTGTTGCTTGGAAGACGAGGTTTGCTGGCAATGATTCAAAATGATTGTCGTGTTTTGATGCTGCGCAGATACTTTGTTGGCATTTTACTCTATTTTGTTGTATTAAGCTGAGTTGAGTTGAGTTTTTCCTCAAATTAATTTATTCATCCAAAATATCCTTTCCTCTTTTATTTGCAGGGCACTAAAGCAGAGAAAGTGATCCAACTCAGCTCTGTGAAATGTTACCTTGGCCTCAAGAAAAAGCTCAAACCTCCAACCAGGTAAGCTGCACTCACACGCATAATAAATATACAAAATCTGAATCTATGTGAATGAGAGAGATTTAAATATCTGTGACCGTGCTAAAATCACTGTATTAGTCACCTGTCTTGGATTGTTGCATGTTTTCAGTCACACTCATACAAATATGACTGCTGACCATTACGAGCTGACGTGCACCTCCCCAGAAATGTAACTACGCGTCACGCCATTGCAGACCTCCTGTCTATTTCTGTAAGCTGAAACCATTTCCCTCAGTGGAAACAAAGCTTTTATTTACTTTAATTTCACAGATAAGAAAAAATAAATTGTGAAGACAATAAAGCCTCCACAAAAATAGCATTTTAAGTCTTGTGTGTGATTTATCCTGGCTTCATATGAGCAGAGGAAATCTCTGTTCGTCGCTAGGCTAATTTATACAATGTAAAATGCCATAGGCTTGTGCTAATAACGTTAGCATGTTATATTTGTTTGGAAAACATGTTTAGTATAAGACAGTTGTTTTGTCAGTGAACCTTGTGAGTTGTAATGAAGCCAAATTATGTAACATTACCTTTGTTAAATGTTGCTGTTGTCCCTGGTTTCATATGAGTAGAGGAAAAGTCTGCTAGCTGCTAGGCCAATTTATACAATGTAAAATGCCATAGGCTTGTGCTAATAATGTTAGCATGTTGTATTTGTTGGGAAAATGTGTCCAGATAAAGACAAGTGTTTGTCTGTGAATGCTGCAAGTTATAGTGAAGCTGATTTGTGTACTACTTTACAGCACTTCACTAGTGTCTTGGAGGTGTGACTGTGCGCAACAAATTCCTGTTTTTTGAATGTTTACAGCTGCCTTTCATTCGGACTCCGTTGAAGTCTGTTTGCACTGATATGCTTTTATTTTTAAGGAGCTCTGCTCTCCTTAGAGACATCCTCTAAGAAACAAAATGAAGTGCAAAAAAAAGAAGAAAGAAACAGGTAGACTTGGACAGATAATCAATTTAAATAATAAGAATAATAATAATAACATAATAATCTCACAGTTTGCTGTGATTAATTACAATTGTTTTTATTCTTCAGACTGAAGTTTGTAAAAATTGAAATTCAAATGTAAAATCATGGACTTCTGTGAGCAGTTGTCATCACTGACAGATCCATTGATCCCTTGTGAGAGTGATGTCCTCTGCTTGCTCAAGCATGTTCACACTCCGTTCTCTCGCCTTCACACTGAGTGTGTATTCTTGACAGGAGGTGATGATGCAATTAGAATGATTTCTCTCAGTCCATTGTCTTCTTCTGTGTTAATTTGATGGCAGTTTTTAGCTATTCGTTTAGCCGAAGCATCATTTACCTTCTCTGTTAAAGGTTTCAGTATTCACCCGTGAATAAGATACTGCTGTACTCCAGATTGGTGAAGCCCTGTAGTTTTGGTAGGGTTTTTTGCTTGAGGTCATAGGTCGAGGACAAGTAACTGCTGTGGCAATTTAATTTGAATTTGCAAACCATGCTGAATACTTTAAGTTTTTCCAACGATCTGTCATGCAACTTTCTACAGAGAAACTTTCCACCTACAACTACATTATTGTCATTATTTTGAGTCAGGATGGTTGGTTAGTAATCATAGACTGTATATAAAGATGGACGACATGTCTTCACTGACCCCCAGGGTACAAAAATGAAGCCAAATTATTGCGGATACGGACACTGCCATCTTGCACTGGTGGTGTCATTTTGTCTATGCAGTCACAATCTCTGGGATATCGAGTTCCTGCCCAAACACCCATCCAATCAATCACAAGCAGCACTACTTATCACAAATACACCGATTGACACCCAGAACTGTCAATCATGACGTCCAACCCTCTTTTTATAGCATCAAATAACTAATTAACACCAAATTTATCGGTAAAAAAAACAGTCAAACAAACATCAGTTGATAAGAACTACCTAAAATTGAACTATTTTGGAGAAACTCTTATTTGATGTGTACTTTGATCTTTTAGGTCGGCCCATGTCCCATCTGCTACCACGGAGGGGGCGTGGTTCATGGCCAATACTGCAGCCAGCCACCAGGGGGTGATTGAGATGTTTTGGCTTCAATTTTGGAGGGTTGCTATGTTGGCCACCATTATAATCCAGTCGATTGTTGTCATGTAGGTCAGCCGCCACAGGAAGGAAAGAAAACGCAACTTGACAAGCATAACACAACGTATTTGGAAACTTCATAGCTGTAGCCTACTCATGTGGCCTACACCGTTGTGAGCATTTATACTTGTGTGGTGGTGTGTCTGTGTCACTCTGCAGTTACACCTCCAAAACACTAGTTGGTGGTGGAGGTTTCTGTGAAGTGCTGTAAAGTTTAGTTGAATTAAAACACACATTAAACACACATTAAACATGGCTTAATAGAGACAATTTCAAACACAAGTACACAAATCAGCTTCACTATAACTCGCAGCATTCACAGACAAACACTTGTCTTTATCTGGACACATTTCCCCCACAAATACAACATGCAAACATTATTAGCACAAGCCTATGGCATTTTACATTGTATAAATTAGCTTAGCGGCTAGCTGACTTTTCCTCTACTCATACGAAACCACAGCAACATTTAACAAAGGTAACGTTACAAAATTCAGCTCCATTACAACTCACAAGGTTCACTGACAAAACAACTGTCTTATACTAAACATGTTTTCCAAACAAATAAAACATTCTAACGTTATTAGCACAAGCCTATGGAATTTTACATTGTATAAATTAGCCTAGCAGCTAGTGGACTTTTCCTCTACTCATATGAAGCCAGGATAAATCACACACAAGACTTAAAATGCTATTTTTGTGGAGGCTTTTATTAAAGTAAATTAAAGCTTTGTTTCCACTGAGGGAAATGGTTTCAGCGTCGCTGCGACGTGTAGTTACATTTCTGGGGAGGTGCACGTCAGGCTACGGCGTATGCCATAGGTATGGCTTCAGTTGGATGCATAAGTATAAATCCTGCTGAAGAATAAGGTGGTAAATGATATGCTGTCAGCTGAACATAAAGGTTGGACGAAGTAGTTTGAGAGGTGCAGTCATAAGTCGTGAGTAACTCCAAACACTGAGGAGGACCGTGAGAAGGTCAGCATCCAGCTTCCACATTCAGATTCATTACAGTCGTATCGTGTGAAGACGCCGTCAGAGTAAAATATATGTTTGTGTTTGTGCTTTGACAAGATTACTGCAGTAAATGGATAAAAACAATGTGAAATGTAATAAGTGCATGATTGGCTGCTTCAAACCAAACAGAGCATCACGTCTGGTGTAATACCTGGAAACATATAAATTCAGTCCTGTCCTTTGAGCTCCTGCAAAGTGCAATTCATAAGCATTTATTCATTTGCTGCAATATTCTTTTTCCCTTCCATCAGTGAAATGGTTTTCATTGTCATATAGATATAACTGAAATGTGGATGATGGCTTGTCTCTCTCCCTCTGTGAGCAGCCACTAAAACAACAGTGCCACAAATTTTATACCTGCTTCTCCTGGGCGTTAAATCACCGTCACAACCGGCTCTGCCACAGCAGGCAATCGACAATTATGAGCCAGTTTTAATGGTCATTTCTATAAATTTCCATTCCCTCCTTGCATAGTTTTTTTGTCTTCCGTGCAGTAAATATTGTATTAAGCCAAACTATTTCTCTGTAATTTTTCCAGTGCGAAAACTTGGTGTGGCTGCATAATGAATGTGGTCAAACGTGACTCATTAGAGCCAAAATAACTGCTGCACACTCCACCCCTCGGTGTTATTAAGATGAACTAGTGATTATTTAGCATCGCCGCTGCCTTTGTTTGTGTGTAAACTATTTGTCCCCGAAGATATATTGCCCTTTCTCTTCCCTCAAAGTTTAGCGTCACCGGGAGATACCAGGGCCACTCCTGACCCCGTCGTATTTTTCACCGTAATGAAATTGATTAAATGTAATTGCGTTTTAACAAATACAAACTAGTCCGCACGTGGAAAACACCGCTGCCAGTGTTTTATTTTAATGATCCTCTATTATTGTAATTTATGACACATGCCAAACCCTCAGCAGCTCAACTTTTTTTGAGGAGCCAAACCCTATATTTCACATTACCCAATTCTAATTCCTCATAATTTTCCCCATGTCGGAATTTGGAGTCTTGGGAAGCGTGAAAAATGAGTCCAGCAAGCGATTGTCTGCATTACGCCGTCCTTCAGGGGAGAGAGAGTGGATAAGAGAGAGGGAGTGGGAGATGAGTAGAGAGGGGGAAAAGAGGGACAGAAGGAGAGGATGATACAGCGTGGTATCATAGATATACTGTTGAGTGGGCTGTGGGAGAAGTGATACGGTGAATAAAGAAATAAAGACAGAGTGCTGAGGAGAACGGAGGGAGTCATAGTGAGAGGGTTAGGAGAGGCAGCGCTCCAGTACCTCATTAGGCAGAGGTCTATCTGTGAGCGGCCTACTGCGGGGTTGGATCGGCTGCCTTAACTCACAGGAGTGGTGCTCCAGGCTGCAGGCTCTCTATCTCTGCCCCCTCTTTCGCTTTGTTCTTCCCCCACTTCTCTGCTCCTGTTCAGCCACGGCTGTGAAGGGTTTCAGAGAAGGTGTATTCTCCTGGAAGGTGGTCTCTTCACCTTATGCTGCCTCTGTGCAGGTTAATTCGCACTGAAACACACATATTACTTGCATGTTTACACCTCTGTACACATATCTGAGCGGAGTACGAATTTGTGGTTATTTAGCCTTCAGCAGCATGCATATGTGATCATTTAAAGCCGCTGGAAATGTGGCTTGGAATAGTAAAAATGCATATATATTAAAGCTGAGTGTCTTATTGAGCAGAAAATACTAGGGCTGCCCCCAACTAACAATTTACCGCATTGACCAATAGCCATCATTTAGGGCCATTAGTCGACTAGTCACCCACATGTTTATGATGTTAATTTAATGATTAAATGATATATTTTGGTGGTTTGAGTTGAAGGTGTGAGTAAGAATACTATCAGTAACATTTTTAACACTGTGCTACATTACACACATGGTCCAGTCATAGAGGTTTGGATTTATTTTGGCACAGTGCAGCTCCTAATAGAGTTTACTTTATAGAGTAAATTAATAAAGTAAACATTAACCAATGCAACATAAAATATATACATCAGTAACATCAGTAGAGTTTTGTGTGTTGTTTGAGTGTATAGTGAAGTGTACTGGACAAGAAAAATAAAAACAAAAGGAAAAACAGCAGACAGCAGACAACAAAACCAGGAAACAGAGCCAGGGTTAGAGAGAAACTGACTCCAGCAGCTTATATAGCTGAGGAGGAGCAGCACACATGGTATAAGTTTATCAATGATGCACTTCCTTTCTTAAAGGGGAAGACGCAAGAGGGCTATCACAGTATACATGTCCAAAAACTGCTATGAAAACCTGAATAAAACCGGAATTCTGAATATTGTTATATTCTGAATATGAGTAGAACAAGAGTTGGCATGTAAACATAGCCAGTGGATGAATTTGGGAACATTCAGCAGCTACACTGAGGCGATCATATATTTTTACAGTACTCACATCCATCAGCCATAATGGATAAACACCAAAATCACATTTTCAATTACTTTGTAGCTTGTCTTTGTGTAGGTGGCTCCACCATCAGAAACCAAAAGCAAACTCTCTCAACACAGCTGCTTACGGGATTCAATGGGCTTTACTGTTCACAGATCGAGCTAATCACCCAATCTGTGGGCACTATTTGTTGTAGTGTCACGTACGCAATCACTATTTCTTCACCATAGAAATTTACGGTTTCAAGGAGAAGTGTTACGCTACTGTTACTGTCCCCATACAGCAAACTGTAACTCACCTGTTAACTTGCTGCCAAAAAATAACACCAAGCATCTCACTAGCATTAGCTTAGCCTGTTTTGAAGTTACTTACAACGACTAGCTATACACCATCACCACCATCATCTTGAGCAAAAACAAGCTTTCCAGTATTGTCAACATTGCAGGAAAAACAGTTTGGAAGTCACAGAAACAACGCAGCAATATATGTGACAGTGCTGTACGTAGGAAGGCCAAACGTATAACTGCTGATGCCTCACATCCATCACGCTCAAAGTTTGAGTTGTGTCCGTCTGGGCGTTGATGTAGGGCCCCAAGAACCAGTTGGATCATATATAAGAAGTCCTTTATTCCCTGTGTCATACAGGCAATGAAGACAGAATGATCATACCAGGGAACACTGCTATTTACATAACTTATTGGTCCTATCTGCCTATTTGTACTATTGTATCATATACATTGTAAAGTTGTACGTATTTAATGGTGTGTTGTGATATGTATCTGCACCTTTGATGTGTTTGAGAGAAGCCAAAGACAAATTTCCACTTGCTTACTATTACATAGGCTTACACAACACTCTAACTTACACAGTAAGAAAAGACTATTGTGAATTTTGGTTTACTTAGGCTTTAAATGTACATAAAGTAAACTCTGGACATTCAGTATGTTTTGCATCTCTCCCAACAAACTAGTTTAAGGCTTATAATGAGCAGCGTGAGCTTGGTGTATTGTAAACTTTGGCCCTGAGCATACTGAGGTCTGCCCTTGCATAAACATGTGGGCTGGTACTCCACTGATTGATTTAATTAATTCCACTGTTTAGCACCTATCGTTTATGAACTTTTGCATTTTGATGAAAAGGTTTTGACCTGCTGCTATCTTCAACAACACTTTCTACAACAACTCTTTTCTGGAGCTGAGTACTTTGAAATTCAACTTTCCTTTCACAAAAACATGTTTATAACCTCTGTCTTCAAACAAAGTTGGTGTTCAGTACATTGCAAGTTTCAGTTTGCAGAAGCAAAGTGTCTGAATTTAACCCGTGTCCTTCTCGTTTCAACAGCTGGGGCTTCACAGTCTACACCGATAAACAACAATGGTGAGTGAGTGCCGTACAGAATTTCTGTTATTCAATAATTGATGAGTTTGACTTTGACCCTTTCCACTTAAAACATCTCTAAAACAGAAGGAATCAAGTGGCAGAGAGGTAAAAAGTTGAATTTAAAGCACTGTGTAATGATCCAAGTGGATTATAGTGGGACAGTCAGTGGTGTTAAAGCATATTAACAGTGATCATATGTTGAGAGGCTGCTGTCCGGTCAACTCAGGAAGTTAAATACCATACAATTCATTTTCTCTTTCTCTTGTTATTTAATCTCCATTTACAGCTTCCCTTTGATCAGTTATCTGCTGCCTATATTGACAAATTCCTAAACAAATACTAGCTCCTCTCATAACAAATTTATTTTAATATATTTTAACGTTATTTTAATGGGACCTATTTGAATAAGATGGGGACATTTCTGAGGGAACAACACCACTGGAAATAATTCTAAGGTACAAGACGATGCTGAGCATTATTATTTTTAACAGTGCTAGTAATGAGGATCTGAGGATGGCTATGCTAGCTTGTTGGTTGATCGACTTTGGTCCAGACTAAAATATCTAATTTTTTGAGGGATTGCCATGTGTGTTTAGTGCTAATTAGCAAATGTTAGCATGCTAACGCACCAACTATTGTGGACATGATAAATGTTATACTTTTTTTAACATTCATGTCAGATTGTCATTGTTAGCATGTTAGCATGTTGACTAACAGTGTGTCTCAAATCACATACTTCTGTACTAAACACTTAATATGTTGAGTGCACACGTGCGCTAGGTGTGTTCACACTGCATAGTATGAGAAAATGACGTGTACTTCTAGTGCCCATTAAAAACGGTCCGAAAGTTGAATGTTGAATATTTCTCACCCTTAAGGGCCGCCATCTTTGTGATGTAGCAGACTTCTCAACTTTAGGCATGGTGGCTCGGGACAATAAGGAGTCTGTTAGTTATACATAGTGTTTGCACTAAGTACCAACACTGTTGTCGAATAGAAGCCGTCAGTAAAGTTTGTTGAATCTGTAATGATTTGGTATCGTGAACAATAATGCGAGTGCTAACGTTAGCTTGCTAGCTAACGTTAGAATTTGATAGCTAGCTAACTTGTTCAGAACATCATTGACGTTGTGGCTTAAGTTTGGGTTATGTGTTGACGGACTTAGGGGTCAAATGTTAACGATAATGCTCCACTGTCCGTTTGCAATTTAAAAAGAAGATGAAGAAGAGGCGGTTAACTAAAAAAAAAAAAAAATAAAATCCATTGTCACTTCCGGTAAGTGCAAAATGGCAGTCTGCAATATGAGACAACACTACCCTGTTGAAATTAGTGCACCATGCAAGAAGTTCGTAGTGAACTTAGTGTGCTAATATGCGATTTGAGACACACTTGAAGTTAGCTCAAAGCACAACTTTGATGAAGGTATAGCCAAATACTTTTAGTCTTGCCGTTTTGATTGCAGCCGTTTTTTGAGTCAGATTTTGTTATCAACCATGTGAAAGCAGTGGCTTCTGGGCAGCTTCTTAAAATTCTTGTCATCCGTTTGTAAAGAGAAGCTAAGAAGAAGATAAACCTCAAATAAAAAAGTGTAGGCTTCAGTTCTACGAAGAGAAAAAATACATATTTGTCATTTTGGGGCGAACTGTTCCTTTAAAGCCATGTTTATTTCATGGTATGAATTTCAAGAAGAGCAGAGAAGAAGAAATAAATACATAAAATGGGTGCTACAGAAAAGCCTAACAGAAGGAGGCCTAGCTACATTATCGGTTTAAATCAGTTTAATATTAGCAGTAACATACGATACAGAACATAATCACATTAGCAGACACCAGAAATACCTCACAGCAAAACAGAGCACTGTATAAACCTGAGTAGGTGACACATATTATTTAAACCATCATCCCCCATTGTTACTCACAGCACTAATTACCAGGTCTCTGCAAAGGGATACGTCACCCATGCAGATGAATGTAATCACAGGTAGTGGCAGCCGGCCCACATATCATCAGCTCTATTTACAGTGATCAGTGAACTGTCCCCTCAGAGGACTGTGGTCCAGCGCCGTGACTCACCAAATCCAGTCACCTGGTTAAAATTAGTGTGAAAATAACGAGGTGGAAATCAGTGACTCATGCGACTGAGCTTTCCCTCCTCAGGCATTTCTGCTGCGAGACGAGGGAGGCTCAGGTCAGCTGGGTGACGGACATCATCAGGATGAAGGTAAGATGACGTGCAATGGAGATGTCAGAACCAGAGTGAGTGAAGCACTCATGCAAACGCTTGATGAAGCAATTTAATGAGCCGAGCATGCAGTGACTTTTGGGGAGTGCAGCAGCAGCAGAAGTTTCTCTTATACTGTTACTGCAAACCAAAAATATCAGTGAATGTGACATGCACATTGCGGACACATCCTCCTTTTCCCTTCCCCATTCGGATGAAAAATACACTTGATTACGGCTGGAATAAATCATCTTTTACAATCCATATCTCAGAACAAGGAGATATGATAAATCATATTTCCCCCAATCATCCATTTCCATTGTGCCGTTAGGCAGATGAAATACATAAACAGGGAAAGAACTGTAAAGTTTTTGAGGTCACTCAGCAATAACATAAATCATTTTATGTGGAAAAGCTGTGAGAATAAGGTCAAGGCGACTGTAACAATCACATTGTGGTACTTAGCCCCCAGATACAGCTAAGTGTTGTCGCTGTCAGTCGCTGACACAGCACATATGACATAAATAATGCAAGGCAAAGCAAACACAGGCAGAGCAGCTACGGATGTGTCATATTTTTTGTATTCTCATATTCATCCTTAATGACTCAGTGGAAGAAATAACCGCCTTGTTTCCTCATTAGACTAAATATGTGTGTATTTTCTGCTCATTTCCAGACTTGAACATCACACTCATCCTAAAGTGAAAGATCTTTAGATTCCGACGCTCTGTATTGTGCGCTCAGCACATTTAATCGGTATTAGCCCTCTGCTCGGCTTCCTTTATGGGAACCTGTCTGCAGCACGGTGTTGTTTATCACAAGTGCTTATTGTAAAAGCCTTTTAGTGCCTTAGTTTGGGTTAGCAAGTAAAAAGGGCAACACTGTCAGGGAGAGATTGATCTAAAGGGGAAGCCAATTTTTGTCTGTTGTTTCTAAGTGTTTCAAGGTGTTTATTTCAGTGACTTTTCTGTGCTCTTTGCAGAAGCTCTTAGCTCTGCAACAACTAAATCTATAGCAGACAGGAGCCGGCTAAAAATATTAGGATTCACCCCCCAAATCCGCTAAATATCAGGATTGTCAGCTTCCAGCTTGTGGGAAGGACACAGGACTTGTGGGAAGGGCAGAGAGAAAGTGTAGATGAGAAAGTAGACAGAGAGCACTTCAGTGTTCTTGATTTCCTTTCTCTTACCTGTTAGCGAGCATTGTGCTCCGACAGTTTCCATAGCAACTGGCGATGGAGGACCTCGTTTAGAAGCAAGGTGGAATGGCTGGTGGTGGTGGTGAGCGTCGGGGGTTTTGGGGGGGGGGGGATGTGTAAAGGTCCAAGGACAGGTCCAAGCAAGTGATGAAATACAGATTTGTTAAAGAGAGACAGTTCCATAGGTCTGGGGGTCACAGTGATGTAAAGGGAGAAGTTGTTAAAGAGAAAGTTTAGCCAGAGATCAGAACACAGTCGGACTGCTGCGATGGCACAGACTTCCCCTCATTTTTAAAGATACTTGTGTGAGTCCAGCTAAAAAAAAAAATGCAGTGCCTATATACCTATACATCCTGATTACTGATACCCACTGCACCATTTCTTCTTTTCTTAATAGCAATTATTTTTCGGACACTGGCCGGTTTTTGTCAGCTCCAAAGAACAGGAACAAAAATTCCCCTGTATATACCACCCTTCACTGCCTCCCTGCATGCATCAGGATTTTAAGATTTTGTTGTTTGCCTACAAATCATTTAATGGTCCATGTCTCTGACCTTTTGCAACCACACATCCCGTCAAGGTCACTCAGGTCTACTTATTTCTGGTTGTCCCAAGATCAAGGTTGAAGCACAGAGGAGACGCACCTTTGCAGTTTTAGCCATAGATAGCCATAGATAGCCATAGATAGCCATAGATAGTTGCCTCATAGGCCACTGGATTGGATGTCAACATCATCGCCATACTTGAGAGAACATGACATGACTTTATATAAATGCTAGTAATTGGGGAAGCTGCGATTTTTCTGGATAAAAAGCACTTTAATGTTTACATTTCTTAATCAGTAAGTTACTCAAGTGTTTAGTCTTGCTACCAGTTAATTTGAATCTTGGTATTTAGGTTACAATCGCTGCTGGACGCCCAAAAGAGGAGTGTGTGAGGCTTACATGAACAGGTTTACTTAAAATAACTATCATCTCAAGGAATTATAAAAACTCACATTTGTTAAGCACAGATTTGGCAAATTTTCCCCAAGTTAATACTTGTGCAGACGTTCCTATATCATATAATTTAATGTGGAGATGGTAGACAATTAGCTAGTTACACTAGCTGTTGATACTAGATAGTGCGCTAGCTAGCTAACGCTGTCTACTCCTTAATCTAGCCTTGCGTCACCAGGCTCTTCACGTACAGCGAAGAGCCTGGTTTCCATTCACTCTGAATTTTGTCTGGATTCTGGTTCCGGTCTAGAGAGCGGATCCAGAATTCACCAAATTCACCAAAGTAAAAGTGTTCACCAAAGTAAAACTTCAAATTCTGGTGCACCATCGATTTACAATAAAAGAAAAAGGTTAACGTAATGGCTTGGGGCTTTTCTTGTAAATTATATTCTTTAAATTAAAAAGTTTCACTGCATTTTTATTAGCTTGGTGCTTTTATTTTGACGGAAAGGCGCATCCACCGAATTCCGGATCCTGTCTCTCTCGCCCTGGTTCCGGTTCCTTACCAAAACGGCCACTAAACGGCACCAGACTACTTTAATCAATCTTGTAACTTCCACCACTGTTCATTTTAGAAAGGCCACTGCAAGAATACTTGTTTCTTGTTTATTCAAGACAATGTGTGCTTAGATTGGTTCCCGCCTGTACCTAATTATAAAAACTCACGGTTGTTAAGCATAGATTTGGTTCATTTTGGTTAATTTTTGTGCAGACATCCCTGTATCATATCATTTAAGGTGGAAGTAGACAAAGAGCTAGATAGTGCACCAGCTAGCTAACGCTGGCTGCTTATTAACTCCTTAATCAAAACATAATATATTAACTTTCACCACTGTTTATTTCAGAAAGGCCACTGCAAGAAAACAACAAACTTTTTTATAAGACAAATGTGTGTTTAGACTCTTAGAAATGAATGCTCCCGAATGTTAGCACACTCGCTAGCTAGCTATGTTAGCTAACGCTGGCAGCCAGAAACAAACTATCCATTGCATGATTCATTATCTAAACAAAGAACAAGTTTTCTTGCCTTGACCTTTTTAAAATGAGCAGTGTTGAAAGTTAATATATTCTGTTACCATCAAGGAGCTGATGATAAGCATTAGCTAGCTTGCGCTCTGGCGATTCAGAAGGTTGTTTACTATGACATTCAATTATATAATCTAGGGACATCCCCATAAATATTAGCCAAGGAAAATAAGCCATATCCATCCTTAACAAATTTGAGTTTTTATAAATTATGACAATGAATTTGTTGTCACTTAGGTAATTCAGTTCACTTAAGCCAAACACACACTCCTCTATGGAGCATCCAGCAATGATCATAGCCTAAATATCGAGAATCAGATTAACTGGAGACAAAACCCTTGAATATAACAACAACTCATGGAAGTTGGTTGGGAAATGTAAATTATATAGTGCTTATTATCGACAAAAAGCATTGCTCTTTTGTTTAAATCAGTTCCCTTTTTGCTTTTGTTATTATTATATTTTTTAAACTAGTCTATGGGAGTTATTTTTTGATTGTACAGCACTTCAGACTAGGTAACTTAAATAGGTAATAAAGGATATGAATCAACATGAACTCTATTTGATGTCCACATTGAATCACAGCCCCAATTTTTTGTTTTATTTTATTTTTTTATTACTGTACTCATAATTTCTGCTGTTTGTTGTGTGTCTTCAGTTTGGTTCTGACCTCTGTCCTAAGACCGGTAACTCTAAAGAAGCAGCAGATCACAAATCCTCCAGAGGGGGCGCTGTGACTGACGGCCGGAAGATGCCAACACACAACAATACAAGCAAACATGTGAGAAATCAATACATATACACTATATATGTACTGTACATAAATGTTTTAACCAACATGCTTTTAAAAATGTTAAAATGTTAAATACTAGTTTTTCACCGCCCTCAAACCCTTTAATTTTATCTTCTGTTTGCGGACAGTTTTCTGCTGCATTCAAGTTGCGTTTGGAGAAGCAGAGAAATAGCTTGTATATGCTTTAAATATTACTTTAAAGGATCTGTATATGACATCCTGAGCATATTTATGATTCAGAGTCTTGGGCCGAGATTGTCTGCACATGGCTCTCAACCTGGAGGTGGCTAGCAGCTAACGGTGCTAGTAGCCATTGGTGCTGACAGCGTTAACAGTTATTACAACGGCAACGGCTGACAGAGATAATGGTGTTAACTTGGGGAGGAGACTAGAGGGTGGGTGTTATGCTTCCACAACTAGGACGACACCCTACAGACGTGGGTCGGGGCATTGTTAACAGTGGTAGGGCGTCAGTTAGCTAGCCAGTGGGATGTAAAATTTTTCAAGGTGGAACATGTTTGGGGAAAACAGAACAGAGAAGCTCGGATTACGCACGGAGGGAGCGTGACTTCACTCTCTGCTCAGGACGCTATTACTCCACCTTACTTTTACATAGCAAATAGTGGTTTGCTGCTCTATTAATGCTCTAAATATTTTAAACATTTTTATTTTTATTGCCTACGTAAATTATAGTACAAGCAACTCTTGTGACGGATGGGGAAAGGCTATTTCTGTAGTCTGTGGTTGCAATCCCAATTTATCCTTATCTGCCATATTTGCCCACAGCTGACAGACAAGAGGATTTCTCTTGTTGATGGCAGCCTGAGGCGGACCAAGGACGCCACTCTTCACCAAAAGACAAACACCATAGCCAACTCCCTGAAGCTCGACATGCTCAAGGCCCCTGAAATCCCCCACAGGAGAACCTCTGCGGATTCTGGCCAGCCTCGACGCCTCCCTTCCCCGTCCCCGTCCAGACAGTGGCAGCCCGCGGCTTTGCCCGTTCCTCCTCAGAGTGGCTGTAAGACCCTCAGCAGGAGACCCATTCTGGGCGGGGAGAGCATGATGCCGCCTAATCTGATGGATGAACTTAACTCGGTGCTGAGCAAGACTAGTCGCAGCGCCAAGAGCAATGACTGACAGGAAGAGAAGTCAGGAGAAAGAGAGGTCAGTTTTGAATGGTAAGACAAACACAACAGGGCTGAGTGTAGAAAAGACATGGAGACTGACAGAGGAAGACCACACAATGTAGATGGAGCCAAAATAAGTTGCTTTCATGAGGGGGGATCATAGCCTGGAGACTGCTTTTGAACTCGGATATATAAAGGGATGCCGATGCACAAGGGGACGTGGAAAACAGGTGCAGGAGGCAGTGGAGGTCATGCAAACCTCAGCTGGACATGGCGCTGACCCAAGCACTACAAAGCGTGATTTATATGCCGCTCTTCAAAACCCAGAGAACGTTACAAAGACATGTTCGGCTGTCAAACCACAGAAGTTTTCCACAAATACTCCAAAGTGTTTGCTTCATGCTTGAAAGTTTCCAGTTACTTTGAAAAAACTGTTTTGACATCATCTGAGTATTATTAGTATTGTGATTATTTTAGTTCTTATACAGTGAAGTTTATCTCAAGGTAAACGATAAATTTTATAACAAGCACTTTTGCTGCAAACGCTACGACATGTAGTTGCACATTAAACACCATTTCTTGTATTTTTAAAGCTCCCCTCCCACCTGTGTTACTTTCTGCTTAACAGTTGACGCTCTTTCTCAAACATAAAATAGGGGTGTGGTTAATAGTCAGATGTAGTCCGTTACCATGGCAACCAGACTGCAGCTGCAGCAGTTTGTATAAGCCAAATATGAGACAAGAATTAGCACACCTCTACTCGGTCTCTTTCTCACGTGCTATCTTCTTGACCGTCTCTTCCTCCTCCAGCTGTCGGTTATTTTAGAGGCGAGGCGCTGTTTGGCCGCACTGCCACACGCAGGCCACAACGCACCATAGGAAGGGGAGACATGTTGCCGAGGTCTGCCATTTGAAATGCAGTTTGAAACGGCAGTGTTTTGGAGATGCAACGCCCATCAGCACCAGCCGCCTGCACCTTAGCCCCCAGGACTGACACCGCACCGGACAGCACTGTGATTCATTTTATGTTTTTGTTTCTCTACCAGGACTTTTTGTTGTTGCTGCCAGGAGATCTTTTTTGTGTCTAGGCTGAAAAATGGTGCACTTTCCAGCATCCTGACCTGTTGAAACCGGTACTGGTGGATGTTGCAAACCACCAAAATGTCCCAAAATGCATTTTAAGCAGCGACTTGGCAATATGTTGAGCCATCCTGCAGTTCACTGTGGACAGGAGACGGTAAAGAAGACAGCTAGTGCAAGAGACAGTTGCTGTGTTGTGTATTATTACTGTCATACGTTATCATCTCGTTCTAGCAACAACAACCCTCACTTTTTGATCACAATATTATTTGTCAGAAATGTTACAGAATCAGTGTGGTTAATCTACTGTTGAAAAATGACTCAGGAAAATAAAAGATGCTAAAAATGCCAAATACACTAGAGGAGGGCTCTAAGTCATAGTGGCGGGGTCCGCCATCACCACATAGAATTAGAAAACTAGTTTGTATGCAAAGGAATGGTGCATGAATATCAAAATCAAAAGAGAAGAGCAGGTTTCGGGCTTGCTAGCCATTAACACCAGCTAATAGACATGAGATGCAATATTAGCTGGTAGTGGTGGCCAATCTCATGAGTATTATTTATTTCTAATTCATATTTTATATGTTTTTAAACACTTATATTAATTTTTTTTAAACTTTGAGCACGAAAGTATTTGTTAGAAAATGTGAGGGGAAGAGTGTGGTGAGCAACATTGTCTAGAAATGACTCAGAATTAATAATAAATATCATAAAAATGCCAATTACTGGAGGTGGGCTCTTAATAATAGTGGCAGGGTCCGCCATCACCACACAGGATTATAAAACTTGTACCTTGTATGCAAAGAACTGGTTTAGCATGTCAAATTCAAATGATAAGAGCAGGTTTTGGGTTTGCTAGCACACTTTACATGAGATGCTATGTTAGCTAGTAGTGGTGGCCAATCTCATGAGTATTATTTATTTATATATTTTTTTTTCTTTCTCTTTTTTTAATATGTTTTATACAGTTCTCCACATTTTTGTTTTGGTACTGTAACCATTAGCTGTATAGCTAGCTTGCATTGTCTCTGAAGCATATTACTCTGTGGTGCACCACTTTAAACTTTGCACTGGTTGCCACCAAACGTAATTTTAATGTACAGTTTAAATAAAGTAATAAATATTTGCAAGATGCTTAAACATGCTGCATTAGTGGACAATTTAATGATGATTTAGTTTCACTTTCATCATCAGTGATTTTGTACAAGAACAAAACAATTTATGCTAACGTTAGATAAATTTAGCTAACGTCTCTTCACGTTAGCTTGTTTTTGCATGTTAACTGGTTAAAAAACACCCAGAAATGCTAAATATAATAAGTTATGATTTGCAGAAGACTCACAAAAGTTCCATGAGACTTTAGATTTCTGGTTCATGTTCAGTTTTGATTAAGAATTTAAAGTATATGTATTAAAATATTCTATGGGTTACCAAAGGTGTCACCAGATCCACAGAAATAGATGCTATTTGCAGAAAAAAAATGTGTAACAGGTGTGTATTTTTGCCTCCCTACACCCAGAGTTTTAATAAAATATATTAGATGAAAGACTCATCTGAAGACTCCACTCTGCGGAAACAACCTTAAAATATCCACAAATAATAACACCATCAAATTTAGTAACGCCATGCTCAATCAGGAGCGGGCCTTGAGAGATAAATTAACCTGAAGAGAAACATGATTTTAGCTTTCCTGTTAAAATTCATGTGTAAACTCAACATTCCAGAACAGACTCTGATCTAAAAATTTCTAATTTTCCATTTGATGGTCTCTTTTAAGCGCACATGCTTTTATATGCGGGAATTAATACTGACTTTCACTTTTTAAAAAAGTAAATTGAGGAGGAAATGCTGCGCTCAGGTCTCTCGCTGGAGCAGTGCAAATAAAACATTTCTATCTGTTGCCAAACGCTCTGGCTAAAAATTACCTTTCCTGTGTTTCCACAGAAATGCAGATGGTGGGAACAATGGAGACGGTCGAGGTGTCAGTGTGCAAGCGCGAAACAGAAAGAGGGAGATACACACAGGAAATTGTTTTTCAGAGAAATTGCCAGTTTTATGCTTCTTTTTTTTGCAGCACTGAAACTACAAATACACCCAGATCCATCAGATAATTACAGTTAGGTAAAAATAAAATACAGCATGAAGTAAAGCCATTAAAATAATATGAGAATGAAAGCATCAGTGTTAAATGATAATTACCGTCATTGCTTTCGGGTTTATTATGCATCATGATTGGATTTTTTTTTCTGTGCAGTTGCTGAGAGCTGTTTTATCTGTGTTTTATTTCTATTTTAATATTGCATCTGCTCTCTCTAGGTTTATATAATGCAGTCACTTGGGCTCAGGTAAATCTGCTCAGTATCTGTAGGGATTTTTTACTCCTTTGGATAGATTTCCCTCTGTTTTAGTCCATGAACACTTCTGCAGGAGTCCCGGAAGCACGTCGAGCAATTCAACGCAAGAAAAGACTTCATCTTTGACTTATTTATGTGTAATTATAGCATTATTTTATTCATAGATTTCATCAAATTCTGCATTTGCCCGAGTGAAGTGTAAGAATAAACTCCCCGTTTCAAGTCACACGCTGTTGTTGAATAATGTATAGCCGCCGGAAAATGCACACGTAGGCAATTGTCACACAGGTTCCTCCATGAAAAATTCATATTAACATTTTATTTTCATTACAGCCCCGTACGCCAGCTGCTTGTCCTTTGTTTCATGTCCTTCTATTCTAATCATAGAGCTGCCACATTTGTGCATTCGTGGTCAGAGCATTTCTTATTAGGGCTTTGTTTGCACTGTGCAAATATGTGTTTTCTTCCCTCGCACATATTAGTTATATTACTATGTTCATTGCAGTGGTGGAAATGATTACGTCGGTGCTTAATTGGCCTGCTGAGAGTCATTTTCATCCCATGCAGCCTTGCTTCCACTGGCAGCAGACGTACTGTACAATACAACCTCCTGGATCTGATGTGCAATAATACTGTATACTATATATGCGTCTGACTCATTTGTTCAGCACTAAATGCCTGTTTCCTTTCACAGTCACATTATAACTCACTTGAGAGCCATAAAAATAATAATCTCTTTAAGATTCTGCACCAAACTGTAATTTCTTGCCTCCTGATGTCATCTCTAGCTCCTCTGCAGCCTCCCTCGGACTGTCATCTCTATGTATATTTACCTCTGTTGTCCTCTGTGTCTGTATAACCCAGCATTTTTGCCGTCCCTCTGAGGCCTATAGTGGACAAAGGTCACCATATGGTGGAGGAGAGGTCACTGAAGAGCTCTGCAAAGTCATTATATGCGACGACATTGACCATATAACTGGTGAGGTAACAGCTTATGCGGCTGTAGTCATGGAAAATAACTAGTACAGTCATGGAATTATTGTTCATAAGGACAGTTTTGAGGTATTTGTACTTAACCTAATTATTTGCATTTCTTTCGTTTACTCCACAACACATCAGAGGGAAGTATTGTACCGTCTCCACCACTACTTTCATGTAAAAAAACGTAAAAAGCCTATTACAAAAAAAGGTTGGTTACACTTCCTTGTTATACTTGTCACGTCTCTTAACTAACCAATGAGCAGCTAGAAGGACTTAGACTGAGGTAAATGTGTGTGAGAATTACTGCGACAGATCCAGCAAATTATTTAACTGTTTTTGACAATACTGCTGTGAATATTTTAGCATGTAAATATGTGAAAGATAACCGTGTACATAAATGTGTAAATGTAAATTTTTAGGTAATTACTAAACACATGAATTGGCTTTACTTTTAAACCTTACACTAACAAAGGAATGAGAAATGTACATGGTTAAGAATTGGTTTGTAAATCATCTACGAACTAGGGGTGGGAATCACCAGAGGATCCACAATACAATATTATTGTAATTTTATTTATCTGTTACGACTCTGAATATTGCGACAAAAATGGCAATGGCACTCCTTGATGGTTGCTCAAAAACTGCTCAGGAATTGCCCGAGGAACGTGACAAAGTGTTAATACCTGGCATCCAAATTCCCCAGATCCCAATCTGATCAAGCACTTGTGTGATGTACTGGTGCCGCAGCTACACATTCTCACCCGACCTCGTCACATATCAACGTTTGGTCATGGACTTTCCACGTCCACATATAACATGCAGGGTACCCTGGGTGAGTTGGTTGTTGACGTTCTGGGACGCCAACTCTAGCCTGTTACATGCATCGTCTGTTTTCAAGATACACTCCTGTTTTCACAGGAAATGTACAGTTTTTTTTTATCCTACAATAACAAACGCACGTGGTTGGATCTGGGAAAAAAGAACAGGGTTTGGCTTTATAATCTTTCAGGAAGCAATCACCATCCTCCCGGGTGAAAGTTGGTGGTTGTTGGACCCATCCTCCACCTATTCCGCTCAGCCTACTCAGACTTCTGCTGCTCTTACTTTTATTGTTGGCCTGCTGCGTTTCCCCCTGATATGGCTGGGTGCCATTAAACAACAACAGCGACCAGCTGAGTATCATGTCGACGTGAAAGGATGGCTTGTTTCATCGTGTCTGATGCCAGAAGTCACTGACCAAGTGCAGGATTTCGACGACTTCGGACTGAGACCGGGTTGACCCCAGAAGAACCCTTGATCAATGGTGGGGCCTCTTTGGATCGACTTTGCTCTGAACTGTCGAAGCATGGACGGAAGATCTCCTGGGGGTGTCTTTCAGTGTCTGCCATTGGGGCATTTGCGGCGGATCTTTTGAGACCTGCCAGTTGTGAGATGGGGTGCCAGTGCTTCCTACAAATGCTCAATCGGATTGGGATCTAGGGAATTCGGAAGGCAGGTCAACACCTTAAACTCTTTGTCAGGTTCCTCGAGCCATTCTTGAGTAGTTTTTGCGATGTTGCACGGTGTTTGGGTGGGTGGAGCACCTCAAATGGCATCCATGTGAATGCCAAGACTATGGGTTTCCCAGCAGAATATTGCATTGTAGGATGATCAGTGTCAATCACTTCATCTGCCAGTGGTTTCAATGTTTCGGTGTATAAACGGATCATGTAACGCTCTGAAAACGGCCATTTTCAATAATTAGTATTTTACTTCACATCCCAGAAGAGCCATACCAGAAAATTCTACACATCTACTACAAGTCACATATACTTTACATTACAATTAACAGATTTTGCGTACTATGCTAACATGTCTTAGAAACATTATTAAACATTATTTTTCATACTACCCCGGCAGCCTTTGGCTTCCATTCATTTCTGCACAAAATGGAAATGAAGTGGCAAACTGTCTGCATCAAGTCTGATTTTATTTCTGTCAAAAGTTAGATCATAATTACGAGGTAAGTCCCTGCAGACTTTTGGAATCAATCTGCATTTAAACCGCGGTGCCAATTTACAGTATGAGGCGGCCATAATTTAACTTTAACCAAAGTCAGTGCGGACTGTGTGTGTTCACCGTGATGGGATAAACAACTCAGAGTTTTAAGAGGCGGCTAATTGATGAACTCATGCTGGGAGCGGTGCACACTCTTAAACTGTGGAGTACGAAAATATGCTTAATTTGCAGGTAAGGAAATAGTGAAAACACACAGGTACATTTTTAATGATAATTCTGTTGTATATTCACTTATATAAATGTTACTGCCAGGATTTGTGGTATCGCTGCTTTTACCCAAGGTAGCTGAATATCTTCAGTTTCTTCCACCACTGCTGAGCTGTGTGCTCTGAGTCATACAGTACATGCATGCAGAGGTGTACAGTAGCAGAGTAGCTGTATGCAGTGTTCACACAGACAGTGATGACAGCGAGAGAGGAGGGGAGGGGGGGATTAGAGAGAAAAGAAGCGAGCTGATATGCTCAGGAAAGAGAGAGGGAGAGAGAAAATGACAAGTTATTTCAAAAGAACAGACATGAGCCCTCTGATTCGACGTGAGATGCTTCTCAATTAAACCCGGCGTCTGTGGTTTTTAAAAACAAGGCATGTTGGACTTAATCCGATGCAGTTTTGAGATGTGGAGGTTATCGATCAGCCCTCGGCCTTGTGGAAGTGTCCACTGAGGCTGCGATCTGATCCCCCCCCACACCTCCTTGTCTCCCACCATCTTTGGTGCTTGCTTTGCCTCTGTCTGTGAATAATATAAACATCAAGGGCAGGAATGAAAGAGAGCAGATGAACGACAGGTCTCAGCATGGCTCTAATGCCACTTTAGACATCTGTATTCTAGTCTGCTGAGAAGTGCGTCCTCACGCCGCCTCTCTGAAACAGTCGTGCAATTAAAATATACATCCTTTGCAGCCATATGCTTAGTCATTTTCAGAGGCTGGGAGAAAAAATTGCAAAGATACCATATTGACTTAAAACACACCAGATGTCCGTGAGAGCGGTGCACAGAAATGAAGCGATCTTCTTTGCTTTATCCCAGACTAGTGTAAATCAGAGAGACGGTACTGTTAACTCTGACATACTGCAGCTGTATAACATGCACGTCCAGCCATGGCCCCGGTGATTTACATTTCCAGAAAGGGTAAGCCTTATATTAATGGAGCCGTCCATTTTAGCGGCTATAAATAGCTCACTGCATGAAGTTGTCCCACTGCTGGCTGCCTTTTTACGCTGATCCACACATTCTGCCCTCTAATCTCAATTCTATTAATGTCTCGGGTGATATTTACGACACATGGACCCTTTTAGCCTGACACGGCTGTAAAGTATATGTTCAAACCAGCCAAGCTTTATCTAATTAAAAGCCTCTGCAATTGCAATTCGACTGGGATTGAGTCTTTAAAACCTCAATCAGGTTTCTCCCCCCCTGGTTGAGGGAGGGAGCGAGTCACCACCGGGCTAATAAAGACGGGAATGTTCAACATTCCAATTAAACAATGTGGGGAAACACTGCTGTAGATCATTTTCATATTTTCCCATTGTTGGAATTATAGTAATGATCCCAGATGGAGGAGGTCACCTCAGTGATAACACTGTTTGTTTGGATGGTACCTGACTGTCCTCGAACTGAAGCTTATTCCTAATACCAGACAGTCTTGCATATGACTGAATAGAAGGTGTTGCTATGACTGGGGGAGCTTTCACATCAAGGACCTGGGCCTGGATCCAAGCACACTTGACCCCAAAGTCCAGTTTGTTTTATTCTTGTAAACACTTTGTACCGTACCTGGGCATTGTGAGCTGATCCATGCACGAGTCCTTTTGAAAAGGTGGTCGAAAGTATGGTCCATGTCTACTCTGGTGCGGTACACATCAGGTGTGAACACCAACTCTACCAAAACACATAAGTGGATTGCTATTTAACTCGAGTACAAGGAGGTCCACCTCCAGCCAGGAGCAGAACTTAGACTCACTGCTCCACTGGTCCTTGCCAATGATGGTCCCTGAGGCACCAGTGTTCGTCCACGGCGCACTTTTCTACACTGTAGCACAACATAAATGTGACGTCGATGATGACGCAAGTGTACTTTGGTACAGAACAATATTACTAATGCAAAAACTGGGCGGCGAGGTAGTGTAGAGGGGGACAATCAAACTCAGATATGGTACAAATCAATTGTAACTAATATGAACACATCATCAGTTATCCTGAGCTGCTACACACATAAACATTTGGTTGGTAGCAGCCGTTAGCTTAATGTTTGTCCTACATTATCAGACTCATAGTGGACAGTTTTTGAAAGAATGTTATATTTCTTTTATCCCATGCGTTCATCTTTTTGGTCAAAAATTGTCAGCTACATTACCCACAATGCTACTTTGTGCAGCTCCCTCTTGAGCCTTGCTTTATGTACCTTTTTCACATTAGCAGGAGTTCTCTCCAAGACCTGAAAACAAACTTTGGTGTGTAAATTCGAGAAACTTCCCCTTTAAGAGTTGTAATTTCTCTAAATTGTCTTTTTTCAGCAGTTTCTCTTTTACTGTACTTAACATATTTATTTTATTTTACGTACCTTACATCACTTACGTTCCTCGTGTAACAAACATACCATTTTTA